TAAAGCAGTGAACAGACTGATGGCAAAAATAAAACCACCATATTGTGAACAGGTTATGCAAACAGACCCAAAGCTGTACAGCCAAACTATTTCTTCTCACTAACATACATTCCCCCAAAAGCGTATTACTTGGGAAGGCAATCTCGTAATGACCAAGGCTTGCCACCCCTCTTTAACATCCAATGTATTAGCTGCTGCAAATATAGTAATACAGTATGATAGCCCAGTTTACCTGACACATTAAGCAAGGGGTAGCTAAAGTTGTGCCCTCCAAAAGTTGTGGACAACTCCCATTAGCCCTTGCCAGCATGACAAATAGTCAGGCACCTTAGGAATTGCAGTCCAAAATACCTGGATGTTACCGTGTTGGCTAGTCCACATTCTTTACTGGTTGGCATCCGTCTATCTCAAGAGACAATGGAGTGGGCTTCTGGGGGTGAAGTCAAACTGCTGGAGAATCACAGCGCCTGCTGTGGCTGCAGAGACCAGTAACTTGTAACTGCTGCATCCTGCGTTATTTTTGCTGTGTTAGCAGCACCGTAGTCACCTCTCTGGGGTGCAAGCCTGGACAGCGTAAATTGAAGTCCTGGGCTGCCCAGAAAACAAGACCTCTCGGCATCACTGATGTGGTCCAAAGGAAAGCAGAGCAGTATGTTGGCACCAGCTTGGCTGCAGGAGTTGCTGGAAGGTGGCATACAAGATGCCAGCGGTAAACAATCATTTAAAAGGGGTGGCTATCCTGGGTGCTGCCCCACATGCTGCTGGGCTACAACTCCACAATACCTGACCATTAGTCAAGCTGTCTGGAGCCGATAAGGAGTTTTAGTCCACAACATCTGAAGGGCCACAGGTTAGCTAGTGCAGGCTGCTCAGAAGCTCTTAATGCACCAGAGTCTAGAATGTCATGTTATCTGAAGCTGGGCTCATTCTTCTTCCAAGCAAACCATGAACAGTAGGGTTAGTTTGAGGAGAAAAACAGAACCCAATTTCGGAAGACATGGATGCCAGACTTTGACTTGTTTCATTTAGAGACACAAGAGGTGGGGTGGGGAACTTCTGAGGAGGGTGAACTAGGATGTTGCTCATTTATATGAATTATCAGTCATTTTAAACTATGTCTTAATGTGACATGCAAACTAGGTCAGTGTATGAATTAAAGTATGACTGCACTAAATAGAGTAGACCGTTCTAGATGACAAGGGCAGCTGTACTCGTTCTGGATTTTGTTCAAGTCAAATTCTTGAGGAGTTCCTATTTCCAGCCTCACTTCTTTTGTTATTTTAGCCTATTTATTATTCCCTATCTAGGATTATTTCATATTCTTTTAAACCTTTCACTAAAAACTTTTAATAGCTACATAAGAACATAACAATGAGAAGTGGAGCTGTATGTCAAATCATTTTATTGATGAATATTCATTACACTATGCTAAGTGGTTAATTCTGTGTTTTTCCCTTGACAGAGGATCTAAGGTTATAAGGCAAGCATTAAATATGTGTAAAAGTAGTAGTTACTTCTTAAAATGCCAAATCCCTTGTCAATGAATGGTAAATTCAAGTTTAATGAACCAGTGAAATCTTACTTTGCGTTAACATCAAAATTGTGATGTATTTTGGCGAGATGGAAAGAAAAGCAGGGCTGTAAATTAGACAGCACCCAGCAATAACACTCAAGAGTGAAGTTCCAGTTGCCTGTGTAATCTGTTGCTGCAGAGTAGGTTAATCAAAGTTAAATCATCTGTGAAATGGGTGGCTTTTGTTAAGCTGAAGGTGTCTTCAGATCACATTTGCCATCTGTATTTCATTTTATATTTTAGGCAGGTACGAAGTCAAAAATATCTCTTAGAAACAGTACCACTTGGGAAGTGTTGTGCTGTTCAGACATTATTTTTAATACACAAGCATCTGCGAACCCACATATTGAATTCTTATAGCTAAGACATACAAAGTTTGACAATATCAAAACATGATTTTATTTTTTAAATCAGAAATAGCAATGGGGAACCTGCAGCCTTCCAGACAGTGATACAGAGACAGCGCATTATGGAATCCTGCAATGAAACAAACTCTATCCATTTCTGGCTCTTGTCCCTGCTACCAGATTAAGCAGTCCTTAACAGAAAAACATTCTCTGTCTCAGTGATGGTAAGAAAAGTTGTTGAATCTGAACTGTATTGCTTAATATGGATGTAAAGAGCAGCACAATTTGTCTTATTTTCTTTCTTCTCTCATTATTTTAGAAGTTCTGAACATCAAAGTACTGACAGTGACACCCATCAGTAACACTGTAAGGAAACAACTACAGGTTTTCATTCAACAGTATCTGACTCTTATTGATATAAGTGAATAACTGGCAGGCCATCTGAAGTCACTCTGTATTCCCCAAAGATAAACATCAACACCCAAATCTCTAGTGACTGTCGTAACCTGGACATGTATCCCTTATGTACTTTTCAGTTCAAAGCAAACAGCAGAAAGATGGATTGGGAGGAGATCAACGTTATACTATACTGTATCTTGAGCTCACTTGACACTATTCTACAACAGAACTTGGCACTGGCAATTAAGAGAAACAAGTATCTGCGCCACCTTTTATTCTCTCATTGCTTTGGAATTGTTTACTCATATTCTGGGATTATTGAATCCTATTTCAAAAGCACATAGCTGGAAGAAGATACGCAAGTTTCGGTTAACACACAGTATTCTATCCAGAAATGTTATTTTACTGTGGGAGCACTCTAAGAAGAATTAGATGGACAGGCTGTGGTTAAGAACATAAGTATTGTCATACTGGGCTAGACCAATAGCCCATCTGCCCAACATTCTGTCTCCAACGGTGTCTAGAAATGGATGCTTGAGGATGTGTATAGAATAGAGCAATTATGGAGTGATTTCTCTCCAGTTGTTCATTTCTGGCATCCAACAGTCACAGACATACGAACACTGAGCATGAGATGATCACTAATGAACCTATCCTCCATGACTTTTCTAATCATTATCAGATTCCAGAAAGAGATGGATCTTTACTTCTGTACCCAATTCTACAAGTTCCCCACACACTGGGCACGATGCGCATCTTAATGCACCGATGCTGCTTCCTAGGTTTTCTATGGAAGATAAAGAGAGATAGTACCATGTCCCATCTGTAACCTCTAAGGGTGGACATTTGCACAATTTGTTTATTTTTGCATGAAATTACAGCATGGCCAAGGTTCAATTTCATTTGTAATTCTGACTGAAAACTAGTTCAGCCAAACTCAACTTCATGAAAAAGAAAACGAACCATCACTCTTGGTATTCATATACTCAAGTCAGATCTGCTCACATGAGACAAGCAGAAGAAAACTATCATCATGGAATTAAACTGCATCCAATTAAGCAGATGTCTCAATGATGGAGAAAGCACATGACCTTATACCTCTAAATGAAAACTCTAGCTACAGAACCAAATGAAGTAAAAACTATAGAAGTGTCTTCATTAATCAACATTTTCTACAGATGCAGTTTGAGTTAGTCTGTCTTCTTTTAAAGCTGAAATCCTAAGTATGTTTCCTTTCATTAAAACTCACTTTGTAAATTCTTTGAACTAAAAGACAGGGCATCAAAGACTGTGGATATACAGCAGAAACTTTTATTCCTTGAATTATATAGCCAAACAGACTAGCAAATACACTTTTGTCTGTTCCTCCGTTCCTCATGTTGTCACAGCCATACAAGGCTTGAGCCAAAGTCATGTGCATGCACAGGCAAGGACCATATGAACTTCAAGAGTTTTGATACTTTCTAGTTTTTGCTGCAGCATTTCCCATTGCCAAAGAAGAAAGCCACTGTTCAGTTTAGCATAAGGCTTGCCCATTAGGCTCCCAAAGGCACTGTAACAGCGTTAGAAACTGAGATATGAAAGCTAGGAGCTAAATGGCACCTTAAACCTAGGTTATTGGTGCAACAGAATGTCTAGGTGTGCTTTTTTATAACAATACAAAGCTGAAAAGGAATGGTCTGCAGCTAAAATATTATGTTCATTTTTCACATGGTCTAGTCCTTCCCATGCCCACCCCCCAATATTATTAAGAGGGTCTCTTCTCCAGAGAGTAGTTGGAAGTAGTGAGGCAGAAAAAGGTCCTCCCTTTAATCTGAAATCTTAGGCACAGTACTGCACCCACAGCTCAGAAACTGCTTGCGCTAATGAAATTCCCTGTCACAAAATGCGCCTAGAACAATGGGAGTTTCGAACACTGCACTGTAACAAGAGCTTCAGAAAAGTCACAGTGCCTGGCTCTCACTGTTATGTGTAAATGCCTTCTTTGCATTCGTTATCATAATTAGTTCCAGTGTTTACACCTTATGTAAAAGAAACAGAAAGTATTATTCATCTTTGAAGGATATATTTTAATTTGATAAAAGAGAACGTCATTACAATAAGTAGGTTGGATCCAGATGTGTCCTCAACAATTGGAAGGGCTCATTCTGCTCATAGGAAACCAGGATCCAGTGGAGACTCCTTGCCGGAGCAAGATGGTGGATCAGTGATTTTCACCAAGTGCTCTTTCCTATTGCAGCCCCTCACACTGTTCTTGAAAGATTCTCCTCCTTCAGCTCTTCGGATCAGGTTTTCACAGTCCTAACTTCAGAACTTCAAATGGCTCGATCACCCAACAACATTGTGACACCAGGTGATTGACAAGTGAGCAGCCCTGCACACCTGTCAATTCTGGCCCATGAGAATAAATCTTGATTAGGATTTAGTCCATGGAGCCAAAAAAAGTCCCAAATATGGATGCAACTTGTAGAGTTAAGGAACAGACCATCTAACGAATAAGCCAGTATTCTATCAAACCCCAAAGTCACAAGCAAAAATAGTAATTTCTTGTCCTGCAAACATTTCTATTCCTGTATTTTCACAAAATAAGTTTTGGAATTTTCCCCTGTGGCATAACCCATCTCACCCTCTTCATGCGGGATTTTTAAAACGAAGGAATAAGAAGAGTAAGTCATATTCACCTTCTTTTGGCTGAGTCATAACTGGTGTTTGGGTCTCCTTTGTGTACGTGACCATTTCTCGAGGAGGAAAGTCAACTTGTGTAATTTTGGACATTGCAAGTTTAATAGGTCCACGTCTAAAAAAACGATGGAGAAAGTTATAATGCAACTACATACAATTCATGCAAATTACAAAGAAAAATTTGTGGAAAGTCAGACAATCCATCATCTCTATATAACAAGTATTAAATTTAACTATTGCTGAATTATACATCTTTTTATTTTAAAATCAAAAGCCAGCACAGAAGGGGAAACAAAGGAAAGTAAATAAAATGTCAAGAAACTGATTTGTTTGTTATGCTGCTTTTTCAGATGGCAGAAACGCTAGCCCATATAACTGGTATGCACTGAGTTTTAAACAAATTTCCTCCATAAACAACAGTAGGAACCTCCTCAGATTCCCGTGCTGCAGTCCACTCCATTCAGTAGTGTACTCCAGCCCCCATGAGAAGTTTTTTAGGGATGGGAAAGCCACATTCTGCCCACTTCATTTGAACAGCATGCCTCTGGACCAAGCCAATGTAAAATGTGTGAATTCTGTGCCAATGCAACACAACTGCAATTTAACTTGCAGAAAACTGTGTTGCCATCTTGAAATAATATAATGCAGTTAAGAAAACAATATGTTGCAATACCTCAGCAATCACCAATTGGCAAAATTCCCAGGGAACTATTTGACCGAGATCAGGAGTGGCTAACATTTTTTGGCTAAGGGTCAGATTCACCCTTGACCAACCTTCCAGGGGCTGCATGCCAGTGGTGTGTATGGCCAAGAGAGTACAGTCACCCCACACTTGCAAGCACCTCTCACATGCAAACCAGCACACAGTCCCTCCTTCTCATCTGATCTGTGCAGACTAGTTGAGGAAGGTTACTGATCCTTCCCAGGTCATCAAATGACCAATCTGATTGTGGGGAGAAAACAATTTGCATCCCTCCTTAAGGAACTCTCTATCCAAGGCCCAGCACTGAGTCTACTTTAAAACTTACTTTCACTGCCAAAAATTTTGGAGCACTTGATCCAGCCTATGGGCTAGCCACCCCTGATCTAGATATATGTACATTAACGCCTATGTTTTCACTCAATGAGTAAGGCAAACCCCCAAAATTACTGGCCCTCTTCCCTGTTTTATAAAAATACAACATATTTCCCCCCCCCAAAGTGCCCAAAGCAAGCCACATACATTATCTCAATAATCCTGTAAGACCAGTATTATTGCTTTATCAAAGGTATGTAGACTTAGAGAAGGCATTCATGACTAACGACTTGACATGGATGTCATAAAGTCATTTAAAAAAAAATAATTACGAGAATATTTAGGATATTAGTAAATTAAAAGTCTTTAGAAAATTAGTTGCATTAAGATGCTGAATATAAATTCAGAGGTTGCAATCCAGAAATGTACATGCGCCAGATCAAATTTGTTCAGTCATATAACGAACAGCTCTCCCCAAACACAAAACCTTTTTCTGGTTTAACATACTGTTTGTGGAAGCTGATGATCAATAAACTGCACATCATACATCACTTTCACTTAATGATCTGGATGCAACCTTAAACGCATAGCTAAAATTGTTTTACATATTATATTTTAAGACGTGAAATAATTTGGCTTATATAAAAGACAATCATTACAACAAAGATGGAAGATAAAAAAAAATCTCTGCTATACCCCAGATCGGAATCAGAGTGAAGCTGTAGAACTGATGGATCAGTATCCCAATGCAGCGTCCTGACAACACAGGTTGAAGAACAACCATGCAGCATTTGCAAAAAAGGCCAGAGATTAGTGAAGCAAATACATTCTATTAAATGTTAAAAGCTATTGGAAGCTACAATAGTATCATGGCTTCAGATATTTAAAAAGTGCCAGAAATATCAGTTAGTGGAAATTGAGTGGACATTCAGCGCTACTACAACAATACATGCATCATACCAATTAAAATAGAAACATACAGTTCGGAACAATTAGTAGAGCGACAGCATTCTGTTGATCAATCGGTACGACTGATTATAACCTTTTTACTTGGCTAAAACTGAGGTTTTAAAAAGTGTAATTGTTTTTAATTTAAATATAAGATTTTAATGCGACACCTGTGGAAGGTAGGTATTTCCTTAGAAGACACGGCCCCTTATTTCCCACACGGAAGAAATGGCTTTTCTTAGATAGATGTGCATGTGTTGGATCAGGTCCTAACAAAGAGCAGGGTTCTTTACCCTCAGATCTTTTATACACATGCAAATGTATGCAAATTTAAAAGTTATACAATGAATCACATAACACTTCTTTAAATAGGTGACATCCCCTGTATTTAGAGATGCATTCAGTCAAGGATAAGCTTTGACTTATCTTAGAGTTTATTAACACTATACAGCTACATAGATTTAGTGCTGTCACCCGAGATCCAGTTTGTTAACATACTGTGATCTTGCCCGAAGCATTAAATATGTTCAGGAAATTGTCATATTGGTAAAGGAAATGAGTCAACACATAAACCTTTGGGTGCAGGAAAAAGCGCTTTTCCACTGGGATATACTGCTGCTAGTGTTTCCAAGATGTGACATTGCTATAATTATGGGTTAAGCACTGCCTTGGGCTTATGTCATTTAATTTAAAGCCAACTCAAGACAGTCAATGTTGCAGCATTCAGCAAGTTAAGCAGTGCAGTACTAACTATGTTTACTCAGAAGTAAGTCTGCTGAATTTGAGATTTACTTTCTTGTAAGTAGGTTTAAGACAACAACCATTTAGGAAATATTTCAAGTTGCAACTATATAGCATATAAGAGTAACATACCAAGCATTAGCTTTAACCTACATAAATAAAATTGTATACATTTTAGTCTTGTGGCCTACTAGAATGCTAGAAAATGCTAGAATGCTAGAAAAACAAAGCAAATATAAATAAACACACATATCAGATGTTCTAATGACTAACCACATTCAAAATTCTGAATAAAGAAGTTTGTCTTTTGATAAGTAATTAAGTTGCTTTCATGAAACTCGAAAATCATTTCAGATAGATTTTGCATTAAAACAACTGGTCTACTGTTCACTATAAATTTATTACTCCAATTATTTATTAAATTTCATTCATACCCCTCTTTTCTACAACAGGATGCACCAAAGCAGCACACAAAAATAAAACCACCAGCAATACAACAAAATATTAATAATGTAGAAGTGAAACAAAAGAATAACAAGTTTACAAAATAGCAGAGCGCTAGCATTAAAAATTCACCTGAATGAATAGATCTTCAAAACTTGCCTAATGCAGACAAAAGGGAACCAAATGGTTTTCCCAGGGAAGAAATTCTAGTTTTGGTACCATAGCCAAAAAGGCCCTGTACTGCTGCTGGAAGGATGGAGAACAGGGCATCTGAAGGCAGTCTTAGGACTCAGGCAGCTTTGTATGGAAGAACATACATCTGGAGATAACTCTTAACCCCCTAGGACCAGGCTTTGGTCCAACCAACACATACATACATACATACATATAGGTATAGGTACAAGATTTCTTCCACTTTCACTACCACTGGATATAATTCACAGAACAGAACATCCCCTTCCTCTCCTGGCCCCTGCATCTGCTCTGAAGGGTCCCTCAACTCTCCAGATCAGTGCAGGGGGCTCCAGGGGTGAGGAGAGAAAGCGTTATTCACACTGGGTGAATGAAACTGTTCCACCATCCATAGACACAGTTGGCTAGAACCCTTAATCAACACCATTTATTGGGTGAAGCCCATGATGGAAGACTTGGTATTCATATAATTCTCATGGCAGGGAAGTCACAGAAGCACAGCTGCTCTTTTATGCCCCACCAAATGTAATACGAGAATCCCCAAACTACGCAGGAGAAGCCACCAGATGGGCTACTCCTGTATGATCCAGAAATTCTCATGCAATCCTTCTGGCACATGAAGGACTGGTGCTACTGTGGCTCCCTCACTGCCAGATGATTGTGGAATTTACAAAGTATACGTTCTGTCCCCTAGGTGCTTAACCTAAAGCTACACTTCCTTATTTTCCGATAGAAAGAAGAAGAAGAAGAGTTTGGATTTGATATCCCGCCTTTCACTCCCCTTCAGGAGTCTCAAAGCGGCTAACAATCTCCTTTCCCTTCCTCCCCCACAACAAACACTCTGTGAGGTGAGTGGGGCTGAGAGACTTCAGAGAAGTGTGACTGGCCCAAGGTCACCCAGCAGCTGCGTGTGGAGGAGCAGGGAAGCGAACCCGGTTCACCAGATTACGAGTCCACCGCTCTTAACCACTACACCACACTGGCTCTCAGAAAGTGGAACTCTACCCTATTTTGAGGGCTCAGGTCAGATATACCATCATTTTCCGTTTTTTCAAAACAAAGAAAGTTTCTTAAATGGCAGAAATGAAGCCCACAGTCACAACTGAACTACTACACTACAAGTGATTTCCATCTGCACATGACTGCATCCAACCACATGTTGATGGTAAACTAAGGCTATCTATGACTATGTGAATTAATACAGAATGACACAATTTCTCTTACTGGTGACCCACCAGGAGGCAATATCTAGTAGTGAAATGATACTTCCATTTCAACTTAAGACTGTATGTTCCATGTACATGGATGCAGCCAAGAAAGCCAATCTTATGCCTCAATCCTAAATTCTCACAATACCGATTTTTAGGAAGAGACTGGGCTCTTCAGGGAGATAATTTACACCCTAATGTAGGCCAGTTTAACCTGACTCATGGCACTGATGATCTTGATACCTGCTCAAAATACCAATGCTCAGCGCATAAGCATGTCTGTACGTGTGCGCACCCCCCACCAGTGATGATATAGCAATCCCAGGGTAAAATGAATAACTATCAGAACATTCCTGAGAGATATATTTGAGCATACAGAGTAATAAGCTGAATTTAAAAACAAGAAGCAAGAAACAATGAACTGGGGTGCAGCATTGGATAAACACTGGCTAAGTGAACTATGTGATTTATTAAAGTATTTTAGAATAAAAATATGGTACAATCCCTCCCTCCTTAGTATATGAAAATTGCTCATTACTTAGAACCAGAAGCTGGCACACTGCCCACTTCCTCATCTAACCCTTCCTCTGTAACCAAATATTTCATCCAAGAGTTTTGGTAAACTTTAAAGTACGTTCTTCAGTAGAGACCTGGACTAGAAAGAGAAGGCTAGATGGGGAAACAGAAAATCTCATCAGCCTCTCATTCTGTTTAATGAACAAGGCATGCTGAGGAGAGGGTTCTGCTGCGTCCTAGGACATGTTTGGAGAGATTGTGCCATACTTTTAAAGCAGAAAATTATTTTTTCAGTAACGTTAACACTTGTCAATTTTAATACTGTACTGCACTTTTGAGACCCCAACATATTTAATCCGAAAATCTTTAAGAAAACATACCTAGAACCAACAGCACCATCACCAGAATCTTGGCTTCCAGCCTCACTTGGTGTGCTCACAGATTTCGAAGATGGAGACATAGGAGGAGGGACTAAATAGTGAAACAGACAGGTATCCGCTGTTACTAGTCGTAGAGGTTGCACAGCTTAGGATGTTTCCAAATTAATTTAACATGGAAGCATTAAAAAAGTGATGGTAAACAAAAAATAAAATAAAATGGATGAAAATGAATAATAGAAAAAAAGGGGAAAAGACAATGTTAACATATCATGCTGGAGACTCATGCAGTTTTTAGCATTTAATGCATTTTGGGGTTATGTAGCAAGTATACTTTATACAAAATGCTGGGAAAATAAGGATTCTACAATTTAATACTTTGCTAAAAAACTGTTATTCAGAAACTGAAATATGTTATTAAAATTTACACAATGAATTTGGGGTTGTTATATCTTATAATACCAATTATTATTGGAGTGGGGGTGAGGAGTCATAAAACAAGCTCTTCTCCAAAACACAGTGTTTTAAACTTGTAATTATTTACTGAAAACAGTTTGTTCTATTCAGCTAAACCTCGATTTATAAGTTCTTAACATTATATTTTTTAAAAGCCTCACCTCAAAGGGAAGTTTGTTTACAACATTTTGTGATACAAATTTAGTGCAACTGGAATGGTAAATGAGAAGCAGCAGCATGCAACCTAAAACATGTGCCTATCAATTAATTATGCTTGTGCAACATCCAATAAAGATGTACAAGTTTTAATGTCTCTACATTGGTTTTTATCCAGATCTGCATTTTTCAGAGCCAAATATCCCCACAATAAGTAATTTTGTTTTCACTGAGGATAAATGGGAGTATGTATTGAGCTGGATTCAGAGTTTCCATGAGAAGAATTCAGCTTACAGGATGCTTCTGCTGGAGGAAGGAGAGGGAATTTTCAGATTCGTTCTTTGTTTTGTTGACCCCAGAAAAGCTACTCTGGAGGATTTGGGGACCCTCCAAAATAGAAAGGGAAGGTGGCATTGACAAATAAAGTCCCCTCCCCCCCCCATCTCCCATAACCCACATGGTAAATCTCAGGCAGTTCTGATTGGGAAAGGGAAACTCAAAAGCCAGTCAATCAATAAATATTATGCTGATGCAGCTGAACTGATATACAGATTTCTTATTTGAATTATACAAAGGAATTAAAAGTGTTCCAATTGCAGATATAATTGCTGATTATAAGAAATATTTTCAGAAAGGGGAAGGACAGAATGTCTTATCCTACAGCACTATATTAAAAATCATATGCCTTGCTTCAGTGTCTTCAAAATATGAAAATATAAGCTTTGGAAATGGAAAAGTATTTTTAATAAAAACACATTAATCCTTCTATAGGACTAGTAAAATCAAAACATTGTTTTTTAATGAACTGCTATTTTCATGTTATTTTAAAAGAATATGCACTAACACTTAGTCCTGGAGACAGACACAACCAATTATTTGATTATTCTAAGAGGGACATGCTGAATCAAGTTCTTTGTTATTTTTTAACTAGTTGCTACTGCCATCTATTGGTTGTTAAACAGTATGATGGTTTAGAACAGAGCTTTCCAAACTGTATGTTGCGACAGTGTGTGTAGGTGTGTCGCGCAAAAGCTCCCCACACTCCTTCCAGGGCAGCTGGAAAGTGGTTAGTTTAACCTCCTGTTTGCTAGTAAAACTGAATTACTGTGTCATGAAATGATGCATGTCTAAAAAGTGTGTCATCAACATGAAACGTTTCAAAAGCTCTGGTTTAGAACCTTCACATATTGTAGGTACCTTTTTCTATTAGAGGAAACTACAGTATTTCCTCCAATAAAGCAGTTTACATGTAATATTGGTTAGGAAGCAAATACCTTCCAATTCAGTGAGACCTGAGCCAGAGTAGAGAGTGGTAGAATAGATTTAAACCACTGCAGACAACAGATCAGAAACATGGAGTTGTGCCCAAAAATGTTATCACATTCACACAACGACTTCCACTTGTACAACAAAAAATCTCTTCCAACTCCTCTCCCCACATGCACCTCACGCTCCCAAGTCTGCTCCAGAAAGTTGGACCCCTAAAGCCGATTATTTTGTGGAGGGAGTCTTCTACTGCACAAGTGAAATTCCTTGCATGAACAGAACAACTTGGGCACAACCCATAAATTTTAAATGCTTCCCTATGCAAGAATTTCCCTGCTGTTCAGACCACTCCACAGTGTGGGTGCTTTCCATCTGCATGTCTCTCCCTTTAATGATCAGGAAGTATTTTTAAAATGTGATCACTCACCTATAGTCTGAAGTGGTTTAATCTGTTCTACCTCCTCAGAAGCCTATTACTATTTACCTCATAAATACAATTAGAACTGGTCTGTTAATGAAGCAAAACTGAACATACTCTACTTAAGCTGAATTAGTAGCCGATTAATAAATAAGCAATAATAAAATCAGCTCATCGTTTTTTGAACAACAAGGAGAGTTTGCCAATTCAAACATCAAATCAAAATGATCACAGCATAACAAAACTGATGACTGCGGAGGGCGCCCCGTGCTTCGGGCTGCAGGCTGCTGCCCGCAAGCCTTGCGAGCCCGCGGGAACTCCCGCTGGGCGCGCAAGGCTTGCGGACACCTGCGCGAAGCACGGGGCGTCCTCCGGAGGGCGCCCCGTGCTTTGGGCTGCAGGCTGCCGCCCGCAAGCCTTGCGAGCCCGTGGGAACTCCCGCCGGGCTTACAAGGCTTGTGGATAGCTTCCTGAAGCCTGGAGAGCGAGAGGGGTCGGTGCGCACCGACGCCTCTCGCTCTCCAGGCTTCAGCGAAAGCCTGCATTCGCCCCATAGGACGCACAGACATTTCCCCTTCATTTTTGGAGGGGGAAAAGTGCATCCTATAGGGCGAAAAATACGGTATATTTGATAAAAGCATGGCTACCAATTCTACAAGTGTCTTTTCCTGTTCAAAATATTCCCATCAGCAGGGTTAAAGGCTATTTGGTATTTGGAAATACATTAGCTTGAAAAGTAGACATAAACAAAAGGAGGCTGCCTCAGTTATACTACTGCACTAAAAATGTTTATATCGCAGCCAGATCGCCCTCACATCCAAGGAGTCAAGGAATCACATCCAAAGAATGACATTGTCAAGGAGGACAGCGCCGAGGTCCTCAATAAATTTACTGCTGACTTTGCTATGGAAGCCACTTCTAAAGCCGATGTTCACGTGGAACCCCACAAGAAGCAGCTCCACGTCACACTGGCCTATCACTTCCAAGCCAGCCCCTTGCTAATGCTCGAGAAGTTAGCTCAGAGCATAGATGTCAAGCTGGGCTGCGACTGGGTGGCTGCAATATTCTCCTGGGATCTTAGATTTGCCAATCATGAGACCCTCCAGGTGATCTACCCATACACCCCGCAGAACGATGATGAGCTGGAGCTTGTCCCAAGGGACTTCATGTCTCCTGTGGAGCAGGTCACCACCAGCACAGGCTGGATTTATGGCACTTCGCTTGGGACAGGGTGCTATGGACTGCTGCCCAAGAATTACATCACCAAAGCAGATGAGTGTGGCACGTGGGTGTTCCATGGGTCATATGCCATTCTGAATGGCAATTCATCCCCCTCCCTCCTGATGTTCACTGACGGAGTGATGGATCGAAGACTTCAGGAGGATCAAGGACCAGGGGATACTGGGTCCCTCACAATCTTCTGCCAGAGTATGCAGCCCTTAAGGATCACCAACCCACCTGGGCCACAGAAGAGGCGCCTTTTCGTTTGCCGACAAGGCAAAAGGAGGATGTTGTGTTTGGGAAATACTGGCTCTTAGTGTTTGATGCCGAAGGAAGGTATATGCGGACAAAATGTTTATTTTGTACTGGTTAGGAAGCTGCCCTATTCCAAGAGAAAAACTGAAAAAGTAACATGTCTATGCAGGCTAGGCTTTTTATCTAATCTCTTGCAATGTTGCAATGCCCCCTTGTGGCAGAGTTATCGTCTCCTTTTTATATGCCTACAGATAGCTTAAAAGGAACCATTAAAAGTTTTAGCAACTTAAAAGGAAAATTACTAGAAGTACTTTGAAAATACTCTCCTTTAAGCATTATGGCATCTGTAATATTAACTACAAATATATGTTCGGTTTAGGAAGATATTCCTGTTTCTACTTGCTAAATCCTCAGATAGTTTAAGACATCCTGCTTGAACACTTTTTTAAAGGGTACTTTAAGAAATAACAGAAACGTTGGCTTGAATCTTGAATTCCCACAAGCAGAACTCCACTCATGGGATACTCCCATAAGAAGAAGGAAAGAGGCAATTTCCACCAATTTCACCCAGCAGAGCTGTTCTGCCATGCCAGGAGACCCTCCAGAACATCATGGGCAGTGTCATGGGAGGGTACAGGGCAAAGGGTGAAATGGACAAAAAAAAGCCGCCACCACCATTCTTCCAGAGGCAGCCTCTCTGGGGAACCCTGCACCCAATCCATATATTACATTTTTATATTTTAGAAATATAGTGTGAATAAATTAAACAAATCCAGCTTTGGATGCCTTCATATTACTTTCATATCTCAGGTACTTTAGCATTTAGTTTTATAGGACAATTTTAAAGCTCTGGGATTATGCTCCAAACATTGTAACAATAAATGATCAAATTATACTTATCTGTGTATGGCCATATTTAAAATCAGATATAAGCAATAAGTTATGAGACGCATCACAAGAAAAGCTGTGGCAATAATGAACATACAACAGATACATGCATATGTGAGTAACAACTTTCATGCTAATACAAGTACCACTAAGGTGGTGGTGAGAGATATTAATGATAAATTTTCTTTATAATTCTTACCCATAGGAGCATCTGGTGTTAAACCCATGCTCTGAAGCAAGGCTTCAGCTTCCCGTCTCTTCTTTTCAAGGTCAGACTCATCTTGTACAGGAAGAGCTTCTTTCTTCTGATCAGTCTATTTTTTTTAAAAAAAAATAACAAGTTATGTGACAGTGCATACTTTCACATACCACTTGTTTTATGTGCAAGAAAAAGGTTTTAAAAGAAAAATTACTTCATTTCATAGAAATGGGATACAGATAAGATTAATTGCATCTATATTTCACTGATAAAGTCAGTGAGGAAGAATTGTGCCAGTTCTAGCCATTTCTTGGTCACAACACAGAGCAAGGCAAATGTGGATGGGGTAGGAACTTAAGCTTATTACTGTAGCAAGCTCCCGAAGACCAACAAATGGCCTAAGGGTCTACCCTAAAATCAGTCAATGGCAGAAGGATATAGCTCAATGAAAATATCAACCAAGTCTGTGGTAGGTGTGAAAAAAGATGATTTCCATGTTACTGAGTAAATATAAAACTGCCAATATTTTAAAAAAATCCACCCCCACTCTGTGATTTCTGGACGTTGTTTGTTTCTTTTTTAATGCCCAATCTACAAGTAAAAGCCCATCTAAATGGTCTCAATCACCAGCTATGGCATTTAACATTAGTGAATGCTTTAAAGATATTGGTGTTAACCTTTCCATTCCAGAGATTTATGCAAATTCAAAGATCCATGATATTATATATTTATCAAAAAGCGATTTATATCAAACTGAACCATTAGAAAAAAGCCAGCTACGTTTCAGTAACCATAGTCTTGCATTGTACTGAGAAAAAATTTAGCTTCTAATTGACATATCTGGATTGTTCAATCACAGTGAGATATCTGACAACTGTACAGTTCAACCACACAGAAGTTACATTCAAGATAGTTGGTTCATCAAAGCTTAACTTCAGCAGGTCTTAAATGCTTTGCTGAAATAGAGCCAAGCTTCATACCAGCTGCTTGTCAAAAACCTACACATCATCTCTGCCAATTATGCACTTAAGGCAGTGTTTGTACCAACCTCCAATTTCCCAGTATATGAAGACTGCAAAGTAACTGGCTAAAGATCAAGAAAGTACTAAAACGGCACTGCATTCTTATTTTTATTTATTACATATATAAGGCATCTTTTCTCCAAGGGCCTCAAAGTGGCATATGTCACTCTCCTTCCTTTCTAAAGAACCCTGTGAGGCAAGTTCGACGGAGAGATACTGTCCTCGTCTTAGGGTCTTAACAAAATATTTCCAGTTTGAACTGTTTTCCTGTCCTTGTACACCAAAATTCCAAAAATAGTCCAACACTAATTAGAATGGCTTAAATATGCATTTTTAAAAATTTTCCAGTATTGCTAAATCATTATCATAGGGTCCAATTACTCCACACACACCCAATATTGGCATCCCAGAGTAATACCAAAAATAAGAGTATCATAGAATTGTAGAGTTGGCAGGGACTGCAAGGATCATTCATCTAGTCTAATGCAAGAATCTTTTACCCAACATGGGCCTCAAACCCACAACCCTGATATTAAGTGTCTCAGACTCTACTGACTGAGCCATCCCAGAGCAGAATGCTGGACAGTTTTTTGTTTCTTTTTACAATCTTAATACTTCAGAATGCAAATGCCCTTGCACAAGCATACCACAGCATTAAAATGCCTTGAAGAGTACATGAACTGCCTTTGGTAATGCAGCTAGAGAAAAACCTTCCCTTACAGGAAGATGAGCCATGCGAGGAAATCACTTTCTAGCTGAGCCGATGGAAAAGTAGTGTTTTAAACTAAGCTGCTACTGGAGCAGTCTATGAACAGGACAGAAGTAAGACTATGCTTGGAGTACAAAGCCAAGCTTCATGATGACAGTACAGATGCAGATAGCTTCTACCTCACCTAACGTGCCACATAGCTGTCAACTTTCATCCACCACAGATATAGTCATCAGATAACGTACATTTTAATGAATATCCAGTTAAAAGAATGAAGCTATTTGCAATGATTTTTTTTAGCATGTAACACACATGCTTGGATCACACAAATGCTAAACCACAATTTAGCATTTTATATGTATGTGCTTCTGTGAGCTTAAACAAAACCTTGGTCTCCTCACATGTAGGGAGGAGTGAAGCAGGTGCATAAAGCTCCTTTGTTTATTTAACTCAATTGATTAAGCTGAGATATAATCATCTCACAGATGTAATTTGAAAAGTTCTTACTTCCTTTTTCTTTCGCTCTTCCTCTTTTCTCTTCTTCTCCTCTCTGATTTGGGCCAAGCGTTGTTTTTTACGCTCCAACTCAGCCTTCAGCTCACTTTTATCAGACATGATTAGAATCCTGTCAACAAAATAAAGATTACATGAAGAATTATATATACATAAATGAAAGGCCCTCATGCAAATCTATCATAAATAAATTCCCTAGAATAAATGTATGCTCATATGAAAAACCTTAACCTCTCTTGGAAGACATATATTTTGTACCAAAATCAGACTCAATTTTTGCATTGTTGCATTCCAAAGACTAGAACAGGGGATGGGAAACCTATGGCCCTCAGTACATTGCTGGACTCAAATTTCAGAAATCCTCAGCTAGCATTGCCAATGGTCAGAAATGGTGGGAAGGTTGGCCACCCCTGGTCTAAGCTTTCTGCTAAAAGCAAAATAGAGCTGGTTATAATGCAGTACATCCTTTTCAAACAGGTTGTATTTGTGTGTTTGCAACTGAAAAATGCAAACCAAACTCTGCGGATACTCCTATATCCAAAACAATCAAAGGCAGCATAGGAGAGGAAAATTCCAACTGCCTAAGTACAGTTGGCATAAGTACATAAATACAGGGAGCAGGAAGACAGCTAATACCTGCTGGGCAGAATGTTTCCAAATAATAATTTTGAGAGAGATACAGTTCCTGTTCAGTTAAGAAACTCCTAAATTAGATTAAATAAAAGTTGTATGCCACAAGTTAGTGCATGTACACATTAAAATTAGTATTTAATTCTGAAGGGGCAGCAAGTAAAATTAATGTACATTCATTTAATATATCAAACCTCCTGTTTCAAGATGCTTCACAGAGGTACATCTGGCATTCTCATTTCCTGCTGAAAACACCTATTTACCCTGGCCTTTGACAGTTAGTTTGTTTTGTTGATTCTATATTATTCTGGTTTTGGTTGGAACCCATTTGCTTGCTTTTTTATAACTGTATACTGTATTGCTGTGACCTGCCTTGGGAACTTGTGATTTTTTAAAAAAATTAAATTAAACTAAAGTAAAGTTTTTAAGAGCCTCTTAGAGGATTAGAGAGTACAGTATTAGCAGGAATTGAACGAATGGATGCAAAAGTAACTCTTGTACTCCTGCAAAGTTCTATTCTGAGTGTTAATACTTTAAACAGTTTTGAGGTTAAACTACTCCAGTTAAGTAACCTTTCTTTTTTCAATGGCAAAGACAAACAATAATGCCACTAGGACTGTCTCTGGTGTGTTTGCATCATTTCATAAAAAGCACAGCAACCCGCCACACACTGACTATTCAAGTGCATGCTTACTCAGAATTAAATTCTGCTTCCTTTCAAGAAAGGGACCACTGCTACCATAACTCTGCACAGGACCTTGCAAACTAATCCTATGCTGAATTAAGACATGCCCAAACAATGACACTCAGGCAAGCAATGCTTGAATCATGTTAAAGCAAGGGTGGGAGCCTGTGCCCCCCTGAAACATACCACTGTAGAGTTGGAAAGGACCCCAAGAGTCATCTAGTCCAACCCCTTGCAACGCAGGAACTTCAACACCCATCAGCCCCAGTCTGCCTGGTCAGCAGTTAAGAGATTATAGGAGCTGCAGTCTAACAACATCTGGATGGCCGCAGGTTCCCCAGACACAGGTGCTTCCACGGAGCATTAGAATCAGGGCTGGCCCACCCATTAGGCAAGGTGAGGCAACCACTCACCCAGGCAGCACATCCTACTGCCAATCTTTCTTCCTGTTTTAAATCATCCTTGATGCCTTCTTCTCTGGCAGGGAAGGAGGCACCATTCTAGGGTCCTCCTCAGGTGCCAATATGCCTTGCCCCAGCCCTAATTATAGCCCATTTCCATTGCAAAGCTGTAACTGGCTGAAGTGGGCTCTGACCAAGCTTGTGCCCCTACCTAAAATGTGTTGTCAGCTTTTCAGAGGGGAAGCCCTGTTAAGTGGGCAAAAACCTATGAAGAGTAATGAGGGGGGGCACCTTAAGAGGAATTTGTGGCAGAAGCTGAGGCAGCTTCTGGCCTACAGAAGACTTATGCAGTACAAAGCTGCACCGACACCCCAGTGTCAGTGACAACATTGTCAGTGACAACGTTGAGACTGCTGTAAACATTTAATGGGCAGCGGGCAGCAATAGCAACAAAGTATCTCTTGGATCCTACCGGTTCTATTTCTGCAAAAGTGAACAACTCTAGTCTAGTTGGAGTTGGGTATCTGCCCTAATCGATGGAGAGAACATCCATGCTGGTGGGCATAAACTTGGCCTTGGCCTAGAACTGGAGGCTTAAAAGGTGTGGAAAAAGCTGCCGCAGGAAATGGGGGCATCAGAATAATATCTACCGTATTTTTCGCTCTATAGGACGCACTTTTCCCCCTTCAAAAATGAAGGGGAAATGTGTGTGCGTCCTATGGAGCGAAGAAGCCATAGCCCCGCGACCCTCTCCCGGCTGGAGAGGTGACACACGGCTATGGCAGGAGCCTCTATAGCCGCGCGTCACCTCTCCAACCAGGAGAGCGCGTGTGGGGCTAAAGAAGCCCCCCGCGACCCTCTCCCAGCTGGAGAGGTGATGCGCGACTATGGCAGCAGCCTCTCCGCTGCGCGCCTTTCCGCTTCTCCCCAACCTGCTCTTTGGGGCTGGTGGTCGGCTTCCCCCCCGCCAGCCCCAAGGAGCAGGTTGAAAGGAACCTGAAGCCTGGAGAGGAGAGGGGTCAGTGTGTACCAACCCCTCTCCAGGCTTCCAAAGTAGCCGCCTGAAGGCGACTGAACGCACCTTAAACGGCAACTTGTTTTAGAGGGGGAAAACAAAAGGGGAAAATTCTCCCCCTCTCTGCGCAACGCCTCCTGCCGCTTCGCTGAAGGGGCGCTGGGCAGAGAGGGGGAGAATTTTTTTTTCTTGTTTTCCCCCCTCTAAAACAAGGTGCGTCCTATTGTCCGGTGCGTCCTATGGTGCGAAAAATACGGTATATTTTGGTCTTGGGGCAGTTCACAGGATAAAATCACAATACAAAAACACAAAATACATAATGAAAAAAATTAATACAACACCCATCCAAGAATGCCCCCAACATATTTTAAAAGGGCACTGAATGTCAATTAACCCAAGGTCTGGTGAAAAAGGAAAGTTTTTGCCTGGCGCCTAAAGGTTTATAATGAAGGTGCCAGGCGAACCTATGTGGGGAGAGAATTCCACAAATGGGGAGCCACTATGGAAAAGACCCGTTCTCATGTTGCAACCCTTAGGACCTCTTGTGGATGAGGCACACAACTGAGGCCCTCAGAAGATGATCTCAGGGTCCAGGTGGGTTCATATGGGAAGAGGAGGTCCTTGAGTTATGGCAGTCCTGAGCCATTGAAGGCTCTATAGGTCAAAACCAGCACTTTCAATTGGGCCCAGAAACTAATTGGTAGCCAGTGCAGTCAGACCATGACATACCTGTCAACGTTTCCCTTTTTTAAAAGGGAAATTCCCTTATACCGAATAGGATTCCTTGCAAGAAAAGGGAAAAGTTGACAGCTATGGACTAAGACCAGTGTGATATGCTCAAACTGTCTTGCCCCGGTGAGAAACCGGGTCTTTAAAAAAGTAATTCCAGTATAATTATAATAATAATTTATTATTTATACCCTGCCCATCTGGCTGGGTTTCCCCAGCCACTCTGGGCGGCTTCCAACAAAACACTAAAATACAATAACCTATTAAACATTAAAAGCTTCCCTAAACAGGGCTGCCTTCAGATGTCTTCTAAAAGTTTGGTAGTTATTTTTCTCTTTGACATCTGGTGGGAGGGCGTTCCACAGGGAAGGCGCCACTACCGAGAAGGCCCTCTGCCTGGTTCCCTGTAACTTGGCTTCTCGCAGTGAGGGAACTGCCAGAAGGCCCTCGGCGCTGGACCTCAGTGTCCGTGCAGAATGATGGAGGTGGAGACGCTCCTTCAGATATACTGGACCGAGGCCGTTTAGGGCTTTAAAGGTCAGCACCAACACTTTGAATTGTGCTCGGAAACGTACTGGGAGACGGTGTAGGTCTTTTAAGACGGTGTGACATCCCTCCCTCCCCCCATCACGGTAAGACACTTTCGCTGCTGCCAACACGGGAAGCAAAAGCGCCCGGAGATACAAGGGAAGCAAACCGAAGGCCAAGCAAGCAAGCGCCGCTCTGAGAGGAAAGCGGCGGCGACAACGCGCGGGCGGGGCAGGGGGAGAGGCGCGGCTCCGGGGCGTCGCCCCCCCCCCGCGGCTCCACCCCTCCTCCTCCTCTCCGCGCGCCCCCCCTCCCCTCGCGCCCTCAACGGTCACAGGCTGACCGTTACTCCTGAGGCCACACGGCTCCGAAGCCGCCCAGGGTCTCTCTCTCCCCCCCCACCCCCGCCGCCTTGAGGAAGCGGGTGGGGCTCACCCCGCCGGCCGCGCTGACCTGTCACCGGGGCTTTTCCTCCGCTCAAATTGCCGCCGCCGGCTTTGCTCCGAGATGCTCCTTCACAAAGGGCGGCGGGGAAGGGGCGAGACGGCAGCGGCTTCCAATAAGGCGGTTGAGACCCAAAGCAAAGCCCTGCCGGAGACAGCTCAGCATCACCTGACGAGACGCGCATGCGCCGAAATGAGGCGAGGAGACTGGACGGAGCAGCCGCCGCCGTCCCTTGCGTAGCTTGGGCGTTGGGGAGCGTGGAATGAGGCGCATGCGCGCGGCGAGAAACGTGGGTGACGTACCCTCAAACGGTCGACGGGCGGTTTGTCTCGGGGCCCAGGACTAAGTTGCTCCACTGTTTTTCTGTGTGGGGTGTTTTTGTTTTTAATAGAGCGAAGGAATCAGTCAGCCACTTGCTGACATCTCTCAGATATAGCGTTGGTTAAGGGGAGTAAGGACTACAATTCCCAGCATGCCATGCGGCCAAGCCTCGTTCCCGCCCACTTGCCTTACTGTCAAGGCTTCAGCCTCTTGTAAAAGGAGGAAGAGCGGTGCATTCTGGGAACCGCCATGAGTTGTCCCGGGGCGAATTGGGAATTGCAGTCCGCTTTCCGCGCTTGGGTTGCCTGAAGGAAGCCGAAAGTCAACCCGTTGCTTGCTCTCCATCTGGTCCGGCGGCTGAAAGTGAGGCGCATCCTTACATTGTGCAGCGCTTGCCAAATGCAATTTATTCAGCGGACGTTGGTCCTGATAGGGGTTTCTGCTGTTTTTTTCATAGCACAGGTTGCCCGAAATCTGATCCGGACGACGTGACCCACCCACTCGGAAGTAAATCGCACTGAATTCAAGCTGTGTGACTCCCAAGTAACGGGCAACAAAAGAACACAGTAGTTCTGCTGGGCGTGGTCGGTTGCGCTTGTTTTTGGCCCCGAGATCTGATCATAGCTGTCAACTTTTCCCTTTTCTTGCGAGGAATCCTATTCGGAATAAGGGGATTTCCCTTAAAAAAAGGGAAACATTGACAGCTATGGATCTGATGCGTGTGCGCCAATTAATGTTGCAGTAGCATGCGCTTTCTCCTCACCCGACACCCATTCTAAGAAAACAAAACAACAAACAAAACAACAAAAACCACCAGCAGGGTGACTCGCTGCTGTTCATTTCTGAGAGCCCCTTCTCCATAAGGACAGAAACGGCACTTTGACATTGTCTGCTGTCTCTGCCTTTGGCTGGACGTTTTACAGAAGGTAGAAAGGCACTGCGGTAGCTGCCCATGGTGCAAACTCTCCAGTCTTCGGACCCATTTCCTCCTCTGGACACAAGACCTTTGCAGTTCTTTGAAGCTGAACGTAGAGCTGGTCTTTCTTCACTCTTGAAATGGGGAACTTGTGGCCCCTCAGAAATTGTTCAGACGCCCAACATCTGCAGTCATCATGGCCAGTGGTCAGGGAATGATGGGAGTCCGTGTCTAGCAACCGTGTCTTTTGAATTTTTCTCTTATCTCTCATCAGATGAGAGTTTGAACAGTGCATCTGTGTAAACAATAGAGGCTGTTATGTAGTTAGTTATTTTGCACAATTTATAGAATATCTCAAACCTTAAAGAGGCTGCTCCTTCTCATATTGCCAGTATTTATCAGGGGAACATGAGTGAATGGCTAACTATCATTTGTAATGTTCGGAGACAACTCACATTGCTTAAAAGCAGGTTGACAGCAGGATATATGAAGACATTATCAGGGCCATTTTATATTTCTGCTGGTTGGAGTTGTGCAACCTGACACCATAATCTCTGTGTCAGTTATAGATATCCTCAACTACTGTCACTCTTTCTGACAGCTTTCATAGCTTTACTGACAATGCTCATCCAAGGAATAAAATCAATGCCAGATCTGCAAATTTTGCCATAGGGTCACCCTGTTTTGTGATGCTCACTGCCCTCAGGAAGAAAAACTGTCTGCATTTCTGTCTATTGCTCCATAAATCTGTAGATACAGATTTGTTTTAAGACCATTAAAAACAAGCTGCTGCCGAACTGAAAGAGCAGCAAGAAAGACCAGCCACCTTTCCTCCGGTCAGTGTGCACAACAGTGTTGTGGGTGTGTTGGTGCCCCATTGCTCTGTTAAGTCTCACCCAGGTTAGGACTGGTAAAATGTGCTCTTGCACTCTTCTTAGGATCTGGGTTTTTAAAAAAAAAAAAAAAAAAAGTACAGAAATACCTGCATGCATGCCCAGAACAGAAAAGGGCAGTGGGAGGTAGTGAGGAGAGTGACTGAGGGGAGAGACAAAAAAATCAACATTTGGATACATAGCATCAAGCTCTGCCCGGTGTTGTGGATGGGAAGTAGCAGAATAAGAAATGAATATCCATGACTGAGGAAACGCAGCAATGTTTGGAAGCGAGTGTGTCAAATGTGCACATAGAAAAAAACAGATTTGAACAACCTATTTGCAATATAAGGCCCCTGTCTGGAAGAAGTCCTCACACCTACTCACACTTCTTTGAATAGTGCAGAACTGATGTTTTGCTCTCTTTGCAAAGCCAGTGAACAATCTACAGTAGGGACATTCTTCAGTTGTGTGTGTTTTCAAGCACTGGTACCTTCCGCATGTCTTCTGAGTTCACCACTGCGCATTGCTCCAGTTTCTGCTAGTCTGAGTACCAGTCATTGTATTTCAGGGATCCACCGACAAACATTAACTGATAGGCCAGTCTCCTCTTACAAGGTAAAACTCTTACTTTCCTATTATTGTTATTATTGTTCTAGTCTCTCCTTTTCCTTTTATATTTGTTACACCGTTAATACGCTTCCCCTATTATTCCCTTTGCCTGATACACATTTCCTTCTTTAGTGTCAAAATAAGGTGACGGTGAATCGCGAGTCCCTCCTGAGATGAGTACTCCTGCAATCTAGCAACCTTTGCCACGAAAAACATACACTCGTGAATGGGCAAGCACTTAAGAGCGATTCACCGCCGAACATTATAGAAAATAGACCTGCGCGGGTTCAAAGAATACAAGACCAAGTTCCCCTTTCCTCGGTTTTGGTCCAGCAAGTACGGCGCTCTAATTTTATTCCTATTATGTGGTTAAGAGGCGAGAAAATGAAAGCTTCCTAAAAGGCCCCCAACCCTCTGCTGTTGCAGTGGTTTCTAAAAGCAAGAATGGAAACACCAAAAAGATCGGCAGAAAAGGAACCATTTAAAGAAACATTGTAGGCTACTGTATATTCTGCCTTTATTCTCTGCCCTTCCCATTAGTTTGCATTTGACAGGGAGAGAGGCAAGGGAACATGTCTGATTGTTCAAAATAGAATACAGCCCTGTTTCTAAAGGAAGTGTTGTATTGCTGCTGCTTCACCCACACTGCATGGGTTGCTGTTCACTTTTAATGAAGAAAATCAAGATCTTTGCAAGGGATGAGCTTGTTTAGTTCAGAATTTACAGTTTCTCCTTTCACGAACCGAAAATCAGTTTGAGACCTTGTTTCAAGCTCTTGTCTAATAATTCTTAGAGTACTGGGAATCTGGATTGGAATGGAAAATTAAGGAGAGAGGTTCCCCCCACCCCAGTCTATTATGGCGAATGGTTTTAAACCTAGAGATTTCAAGACATCATATTTTCCCTTCGTCATATTGGTCTTTCCTTCCCAACCTCAAGGGGATAAAGTAGGCAACAGAAGGCACAAAGCTGCTGTGTTTTCCAGCATGCAACATACATTTTGCTGGTACGTATGCTCAGAACAGTTAGCATTCTCTTCTTGCTGGCAAATTTTTATCCAGTAAATGCTCCTAACCATAGGTGCCATCTCCACAGGTCACAGTAACTCTTAGTGTTCAATTTCCTGTGGAGTCCATCGGTCCTGTCTGTCAGTCTGCCTTAATATGTGCAGCCTTTATGCTTAGAAGAAGAGCAGTTTGTATTGGTTTTCGCAGGAAAATAACTTCGGCTCAAGTGCTGGCATAAAAGCACAGGTGGCAACAGAGGCAAAGGTCCGTTTCGCACAAGGCTTTTGGTTACAGGAAACAGCACCTCTACATGCACAAAGGATATGGTTCATCTAGGTTCAGTACAGCACAGGAAAAATTTTCTCCAATAATTGGTTGGCGTCTGTCTGTTTTGAGAGACAATGGAGTGTACCTCCAGGGGTGAAGTCAAACTGATGTGTTAGCAGCACTGAAGTGACTCCCTGGGGTGCAAGACTGGGCAGTGGGTATGGAGGTCCTGGGCTGCCCATACACAAAGGCCCCCCTCTCAGCCTCACTGATGTGGTCCAAAGGAAAGGACAGTAATACGTTTGGCACTAGCTTGGCTGCAGGAATTGCCGGAAGGAGGTGTACAAGGTACCATCCAACCATCTTAGGGACTCCACTCTGGGTTTGTGTAGCTTTTTCTTCTCCCAAATATATCCTGCAAGGTGGCAAAGGTTTAGGATCAGAGTTTTCCTTCTCCTGGATGGGCTACCTTCTCAAGTTGACGAGCCCCATCTGGCCCTCACTTCTCTCTACAGCCTTCTTGATCATTGGACCCACCACTGGTTTCATCCGCTCAATCTGCCGGAGCCTGTCACCTATATTGCTGTGACTCTCACTTTGCACTCTGCCAATAGAAATTGTGTATACAGGAAATGCTGTGCAGTAGAATCCTAAACATGTCTACTCGGAAGCAGGCTCTGTTGAGTTCAATGGGATTTGCTTCCATGAGGCTGCCGTGTGAATATCCATTATTTCTTCTAGCTTTCAAAGATTCAAACAAAGTAAACTGCCACAGGTACACACACGTTTGTTACTGAGCTGAGAATGGACTATAATGTCGTTTACATAGATCTGCCCCGCTATGGAATCTGATGCTTAAAGCGGCTACATGGGATGACTGGTCCTTCCTCTACATAAGGATTTCTTCCTATATACATAAAAATGTAGGGCTGTCACCACACAACCACCATTGGATAATTGGTAGTGCCATGTCGCGATTGTGATGGCCTGGGACTTGGGCTCGGACTCAGAACCAGAGGAGTCTCAGTCTGCACAGGATCCTTTGCCTCAGGTGGCATTTGAACCTAGTCTGGGTCCTGATTCTGAAGAACCCCAGTCTGCACAGGTTCCCCTGCAACAAGCACCAGCTGGGCCGAGTCAGGGGCCTGAGCCTGCCCTGGCTCCAGATGCAGGGATTACCTTGTTGCCTTCAGCTGGGCAATCACTTACAGCTGCTCCACTACC